AAGAAGTACCCAAAATACTAAGTATAGAAATATGAGGTTGATATTACCACTGTTATCATTACTGCCAGATGTGTACCAACAACTGAAATTTCATGGAATTGTGATATAATTACCCTTTAAAAGTATAGCAACTGTTTTGAAGTATAATTCACAAACCATACCATTTACCACCTCAATTATTTTTGGTATATTTAGAGAGTTTTGTAACCGCTACCACAATCAATTTTAGATAATTTCCGTCATCTCCCAAAGAAACCCTGAGCTCATTAACACTAACTTCCTGTTTCTCCCCAAATCCCCCAACTCTTGACAACCACTAACCTATTTTCTGACTCTGGATTCATCTCTTTTGGATATTTCACAAATGGAGTCATGACCTGTATTAGGAGTGGTTTCAGTGACTAAGTTTATGTTTTCAGGGCTCAACCACATTACAACAAAAAGCTATGCTTCATTCCTTCTTATGTTTAAATAATATTTCATTGCATGGTCTTGCCACATTTCGCTTAGCTGTTCATTAGGTAGACACAAGGGTTGTTGCCATTTTTCAGCTGTTTTGAATGATGCAGTTGTACATCTTCAGGTACAAGCTTTGCTGTGGTAATACACTTCCACTTCTCTTAGAAGGCAGCTAATGCTAACCACTATACCACCAACGCCTCGGTTCCCCTTCTCTTTGACATATGCCCAGGAATAGAGATGCTGAATCACCTAATAATTTATGTTAAGGAACCACCAACATGCTTTCCAATGTGGCCACACCATTTTATGTTCCTACGAGGGCTGGGTGAGAGTTCCAGTTTCTTGGCTGCCTTGCTCCAAGGAAACATTTCAGTTTCATTTAACAAATTAATTGCAGTAGTTTGAAAGCATACTCCTGTGTGATATTCTTACTCAGTTGCTCATGTCTTTTTTATGACAGCTATGCTGATGAATGTGAAATGGTGTCTCCCTGTGCTTTTGATTTGCACCTCCTTGATAACTGATGACAAGGGTCAGCCTCTTATGTGCTGTTTGCTATCTGTGTGTCCTCTTGGGAGAAACATCTGTTTATCTTCTTGTGGCTGTATTTTAAATTAGGTCTTTGTATTTATTGTTCAGCTGTAGGAGTTCTTTGTGTATTCTTTATTCTAGTCCCTTAACAGACATATGACTTGCAAACATTTTCTCCCATCCTGTGGTGTGTCACCACTCTGTTGGTGGCCCTGACCATGTGTCTTGTAATGTTCTTATCCTTCAGGTCAGTGTGTGCTTTACACTACCCTTCCATTCTGGATGGTTTCGTTTCCTCGTTCCATAGCTTCCCACTGTATTGGTGGTATAAGTTTAGGATTTCTCTGCCCTGTCAGAAGCAGTTGTGTCTTACAAAATTTTATATATCCATTGCCAGGAATTCTGCCTCACGCAAAATGGGAGTTTAATAATTGCTAGACCACTCTGAACCTTGTGCTGGGAGGAATATTCCAGATCAGTATTGACCTAAGAAAGTTGACAGGAAGGCCTTAATAGACGGTAGTGCCTTAGCACTTGCGTCTTTGCTACAGGATTGCTAGTGTGGTGTCCAGCTCATCATAGGCCGCTTTGCTCTGTTCTGAACAGTGGGCTGAAATTATACAACTAAGCATCTATTTTATTCATCTTCTTATGTAAAAGTGCCTAATCTTAAGTGCTGTCTGTTAAATCTAGTGAAGTCATGTGAATAGAGCTGTGCCATTTGTTTGTGTGTGTGTGTTTTTTTTTTTAATGTATTTGGTACAGTGTCTCACTATATAGCTTGGACTCGTAGTGATCCTCCTGTCTCAGCCTCCCCAGCGCTGGGATTCCAGGCGGGCATCACCAAGCCCTGTCTCAGTAGCCAGCTCAGGGCGCCCCAAGTCAGGTCCTGCGTGGCATGTGGTGCTGGGGATCGAATCCCAGTCTCCATGCTAGGCGCTTGGTCCACTAAACTGTCTTGCTGGCCCAGAGCTCTGCCATTTGTATGAGACGTTTACTTGATGTACTGTGCTGCCTTTTGCTGTGCCTGTACTCTGGTGTGGCCTAAGGATTCCCAAGTTTTCTCTTAACAAGGTATTTCCTATGGTAATAGTTTACCACTGATTTTTTTTTTTTTTTTTTTAAACATCTTGGTGATGATCATTTCCCTGTTCATCCTAAATTTTTCTAAGTTGAAGAAGTAATTGAATGGTTCTCCTTTATTTTTTATTTTTATTTTTTTGGCAGAACCAGGGATTGAACTCAGGCCCTTGTGCTTGTCAGGCATCACACTTTTGGTTCTCCTGCCTCAGCCTTCCCAAGACGTGGGTGGCAGGTGTGTACCTCCACAGCTGGCTCCAAGAGATCCCCTTACTAACCTGAAGGAAGTGCGCGTATTCTACTGAGCTATCTCCCCGGGCCCCAGTTCTCCTTTATTTATAGAGCATATGGTATTTTCTCAAAGATTCTGTGCAGTCTGCCCCTCAACAAGTCACTATTGTTAAAAATATTGCAAGGATCCTATTTTGATCAGAAAAGCACAATTACATGGTACAACTGTTACTCCCAGTGGAATGAAGGTGCAGATTTGATTGTTTAAGCCCAGTCCTTCTCAGAACTCCCTAGTTCTTAATTTTAAATTTTGATAGAAGCAAGAAAAAGAAAATAAAAAAATGAGTTTTGAGAAGAAAATCCAGATAGTTTCTGTGTACCTTTGCTAAGATTTGAAACGTATTCTCAGACACACACACACACACACACACACACACACACACCCCACACACACACAGTGATGAGATAAACTAGTTGATAGCCAAAGATGATTTATTTTCACTTAGCATAGCAAGCTGTGTTAAAAATTACATCATCGCAAAAGACTTACTGGAATTCCTGAATTAGAAATTCCCCCACCCTTAATTCTTTTCTTTTTTCTTTATGAAACAAAATTAGCTCTGTGTTTTGAGGAGAAAAAGAGCTTGGCAGACATGCTGATTATAATACTCTATTGGAAAACACTTTGATTGATTAAAAAACAGATGCTGTTCATGGGAGTTAAAAGCCAGTGATAGCGTGTTCACTCTGGTGTGGGCTGCACTTCTTTCAGGTTAGTAAGGGGGTCTCTCGGAGCCAGCTGTGGAGGTACACACCTGCCACCCACGTCCTGGGGAGGCTGAGGCAGGAGAACCAAGAGCGCGATGCCATCCCGGGCAACCTAGTGAGACCCTTCCTGGAAAAATAAACCAAACCAAACAAAATAGAAGGGAGGAGGAGAGAAAGGAAGTGAAAGGCAGACACCAGGAAATTCTCCTTTTTCTTCCTCTAGGGCATTGCACCCACCCCAAAAGCAATTTTGCCTGGAGCATAGTCTCATGGAGGTCACAGATCTTGTGTTGTCCTTGCCCTGTGTAGATCAGACATGGTACAGCTACTCAAACATGTCAGCTAGAAGGACAGGAAGTTAAGTATTTGCTTAGTCAGACTAACAGGTCAGGGTTGGGGGTTGAGGTCACATTACTGCTTACTAGCTCAAGTCCTTAGATAAAGTATTTAACCTCCTGGGATTTCAATTTACTCTTTGTAATATGAAGGGTGATACTTCTACCTAGTGTAGTAAACAGTGTTATAATTAGTTGTTATTAAATTCAGCACATTTCCCGACCATCTCTTCCACTCCGAACTTGACTCCCTGCCTGATTAAACAGGGTCGAGTTCATAGAGATCATCAGCTGGGTCCTTCCCTGTTGAAGAGCAATAAGAGGAAGAAACTGAAGAAATGTTATTTTAACACTGATTTCCAGGAACTCCGCTAGAGTAGATTCTGTGCCCTCATGTATGGAATGAGTTGATGCGGGAAAAGATGAAATAAAGAAATGTTCCTGTGTGAATGTTCTTGTCTGTGGAGATCAGCCTTGGATGTTGGAACAAAAACAAGTCAGTAGTGACTAGTTTCTATATTTCATGTTCCAATACAGGTTTCTTTGTAGCAGTCTTTCACAGATAGTTTCTCATGCTACATTTTTAAAAAATTGCAAAATAACTAACCCTCATGTTCCTGATGTATTAACATTATCAAAGGAGTCTTTCAGGATTATGTCTCCGTAAGGGGATTAGTTTGAACAGTGTATAAAAAGTCAAGACCAAATGAACAGGCCTTGGTGCTATGAGCAGAATAATAAAGTGGAATCTGAGGTTGCTCTGTTATGAATGAGTTATTTGGATTTAGAAGGAAGTTATATTTAGGCATGGCGTTCCTATAAACCCCCAAGCTATGTGTTACACAAATGAGAAATTTATGTGCTAAATAAAAATCACCAGATGTCAGTTTCTGTGTGTGCCAACTGGCAAATGTGGAGTGGCTCAGAAGTCTGGGAGAAGTGATGCCCATTTCTTTGCTATTCAAACGCAAAAGGGAGAGTTGAAGTAAAATGCTTTTGAAAACATCCCAACACACTCAGCGACCAAAGATAGCCCATACTATCAGTTGTTATCTGAAAAGCCTTAATTTATGTTTTGTTCATGATGTGTTTGTAGCATTATAAATGTGACACGTTTACTCTTATTGTACTTGACTTTCCCAAATTTCACTGCATTCTTTTAAAGGGTCAGCAGATAATCTTTTTTTTTTTTTTTTTTAAAGGAAGGGTCTACAGAGCGTTCAGGGTCTCACTACTAGATCAGAGTCATAGTGATCCGCCTGTTTACAGCCTCTCAAGAGCTGGGGTTACAGGCGCGTGCCACCATGCCCAGTCTGAATTGCCAGCTCAGCCCACCCTGGGGACAGAGCTGGCACAGCAGGCTGGGGATGAAACCCCAGGACCCTGCGCCTGCTTGCAGGAGCTTTAATCCACTGAGCTATTTGGCTCGCCCTGAGAAGATATCTTATTTAAAGAACCTACCTGGCCACAGCACTCTAATAATAAAAGTCCAGTACCCTCTACAGTGTATGTAATCTCAGGGTTCCTGTCTGGTATCTTGCCCACAGCAGTCATTTTCCTGAAATCATCAGATGAATTCTCTTCTTTCCTTAGAAATCCGAGCTCAACTGGTAGAACAACAAAAATGCCTGGAGCAGCAAACCGAGATGCGAGTTCAGCTTCTCCAGGACCTTCAAGATTTCTTCCGGAAAAAGGCCGAAATCGAGACAGAATATTCTAGGAACCTAGAGAAGCTGGCAGAAAGGTTCATGGCAAAAACAAGGAGCACTAAGGACCATCAGCAGTACAAGTAAGAGAGACTCGATGCAGATGCACCCCCGCTGCTCATGTCATTTTAGGTCTTTCCACCGTTGTGTTAGGCGCTTTGGGTGGGTGTATTTCCATAAGCAAAAGCAACTCTCTGCCTTGTATTTTAGAGACACCCACTGATTATATTTCACCTAATGATATTCTCTTGAAATCTTTGTTTCTAATACAATGTTATTATTATTAATAGATAAGTTTATATATAAGATGTTTGTAAAATTCTAGGTCATGGAAAACTAGGAGTAGGTTTTGACCACAGGTAGATATTTGATAAAGAAGGCTTTAAAAAGCTGCTTCTTTAAGCAGATACTTCTTGTTTTCTGTAAAGTAGAAGTAAGTAATGTGGTTTGCTTGACTTGAATGCGTTGCGTCCCCGTCCCACACAGCATGTTGGCTGCCACTGTGTTCAGAACTGATGTCACACAAGGCCCTTGAGCGTAATTAAACCTTAGCATTAATTTTATTTCATTGGTTTACGAAATATAAGTTATTCCATTAATTGAAAATATTTTTTAACTGAAATTGTGGATACAGATGCATAAGCAGACAGTGTGAGCAGGAGCTTAGCAGGAGATGCGCAGATGTGGCTGAAGAGGGGGAAGGGAAGGTCCCAGAAGGCGCATTGCCTTAGCAGATGCCTGGGGCTACTTGGGGAGTCAAGGAGGCTAGGCCGGCCTGGCAAAGAAAACTTCCTGGGTCAGGGGCCAGAGGGCCGATTTGCAGAACAGAAATGACTCCAGTGGGTATGGATAGTGAGTGGTTAGTAGTGTGACCGCTGGCCTGCGTTGGAGTTGATCTCACAATTTTATTCATCATGCTGGGCAATTGTGATTTTATCCTGAGGCATGAGAAGCCTTTGGGGAGTGTAAAGCAGAAGCTGACCCACTCACAACTACGTTTTGAAACAAGAAGAGGGACCAGAGGTAGGATAGCAGACTAAAGGAAGGAGAGGAAGAATGTCAAGGGAACTGTCACTGTGATGGTGGAATCTGCTATCCCGGGGACAGAGAGCAACGGAGCTTTCTGGGAGACAGTAAAAAGGCAGGCAGACTTTCATTTCTAACAATGCAGTACACCAGAGAATCGGGAAAATGCTTCTGCCACAAAACTCTTAGAAATGTTGCTTAAAATATAGTAGACATGCCTTGAAATGTACAGCTGGATTCAAAGAAAGTACAGAAAACTGCAAGGTACGAAAAGAAAAGGGGAAGTGAAAGTCTAGATGGCAGTACCCCACCACCACCACAGTCACATGTGGGGACAGAAGATGAGGTGAAATGTTGGCACTAAGCCTTTGTGCAGTGCATCCCAGGCCCAGCACAGCTGCTGACCCAGTGAAACGGCAAAACGTAACCATCTCCCTACCTGCAGAGTACGGGCCAGCTGAGATGCTGCCTTTTTGTCCCCCACTGGTTGTGCAATTCCACTGAATGCCCCTCCATCACCTGGATCCTACATCAAAAAGTAGGATGGAGTTCTCTGGCAGAAACAAGTGCAGAACTATTCTAGATAAGGAATACTTTTCTCTTTTCTTTTCCTTTCTTTCTTTCTTTCTTTTCTTCCATTTGTTTTACGGATGAGTTTAACTTCTGGGTTTGTCCAGCATAGGGTTCTTAGCGATGATTCCCAGGGTAACCGAATGTCTAATGTGGCTGAAGAAACCAAGGCTGGAACGAGGCGACGAGCCAGCTCTGTCTTCACATTTATGGGAACTGTCCTCTTTAAAGAACAGTTGCAAATAAGAACACAGCCCATCATTCATCTATTCAACAAATACACTTGAGGGTTTTTGTTTTTTTCCTGTAGATGTACTTAGAAATTAGTTTTGAACTGAAAATATGGGGTGGATCCTTGCTCTGTAATCTGGTCCCTTAGTGAATCAGATGCCACTTTCTATTTCTCCAGGGTTTTTTTTGTTTTGTTTTATTTTTTCCATTTATGTATGTAGTACAGGGTCTCACTTTGCAGCTTGGACTTGTAGTGATCCTCCTGTTCTCAGCCTCCCCAGTGCTGGGATTACAGGCGTGCTCGGTCACTGGCTCAGCACGCCCTAAGGATGGGGCCAGTATGGTATGAGGGACTGGGGATTGAACCCTGGTCCCTGCGCTTGCCAAAGCTGCCACTTAGTCCACTGAGCTATCTCCAGCCCTGTTTCTCCCATTTTATCTGATAGTTTTCTTCAAAAAATGAGCAGCTTAACATTTTCTTTGGTTTGAATAGGTTTATTATGGAGTATAAGACTGAAGATAAATAAGTCTATGGAAAGGATAAACCAAATGCTTAGGATAAATGTCTTTTATTAAAGAGTCAGCCATTTAATAGTGGCCCACTGTATATTTGATAAACAGAGTTTCATACCCTCTCTGAGGTTTGGTTTCTTAACAAGTAACAAAAGATGTTGTGACCATTAAGTAAGGAACATCGCAAAGACCTTGGTAGCTGGTGTTCAACACAACTGCCCCTCCTGCCAAGCGCCTAGTCTTTAGTATGGCCATATTACCGGTCATGCAAGCTGGACTGTGCAGTCTGCCCTTACTCAGCCTTTCCTTAGTGTATAGCACAATCTTTGGCCTGAAGGTGCCACTACATAGTGGAAAAACCAAAGCTTAAATTATCCTCCTTAGCTGGCAAGCGCAAGGACCAAGGTTCAGTCTCCCGTACCATATGCCATGCTGGCCACAGAATCTGGAGGGCACTGAGCTGGCCACCAAAACTGGACGTCATGGCACACTCCTGTAATCCCAGCACTGGGGAGGCTGAGACAAGAGGATCACGATGAGTAGGGGCTGCGTAGTGAGACGCTGCACCAAATAACATAAATAAAAGGTTTTAAAAAATAGATTAGCCTCCTTGAACACAGACTCACTGTAACACAAGTGTTGGCTTTATGTAATCCCTATGCCTTGCTAAGCTCCAGTTCTTTCATTTGTGGAAAGGACTCAAAAGAATCTCTGCCATATATGATAGTGGCAAGGATTAGGCAGAATTCATGTCAATTTAAGAAAAACCCTGAATAAAAATAACAACACAGACTATAAGCCTGAGGCATTATAAGCATTTAAAAATACATATTACCTCAAATTATTCTCACAATTTATAATCTTATAAGTCCTAATTTTTTTTTTTTCCATTCTGCAAAGTAGCACAGAGAGGTAAAAATCGTTTGTCCAAGACAACATAGCTAGTAAGTGATAGCTGGGGTAAGAACCTGGAGTAACTCCAGAGTTCATGATCTTGGCCTGTGTTTTACTTCTCATTTTGTGGATGGTAGCTACTATTATCATCATTATTTAAGTTGTTATGACCAGTACTACCAGTAATAATATAGCAGTGATACATTTATTCAATAAATGAAATAATACATATTCTTATAATGGGATAGGACACTGAAGATACAAAAGAGAATAAAATATTCTCAAAGTTTTTTTTTTTTTTTTTTTTTTTTTTTTAAATAGGGTCTCACTATGTAGTTCAGGCTGGCCATGAGCTCGCTTTATAGCATAGGCTGGTCTCAGACTTGCAAAGATCCTCCTGCCTCAGCCTCCCATGTGCTAGGATTATAGGTGTGTGCCACCCAGCCTGGCTAAGAGTGTATGAGCTGGTTCAATATAAAAGATGTACTCAGAAAATTTTATGAATCAGGTAAGCTTAAACCCTGAGGCTAAATAGATCAAGAATATCAGTAGAAAAAAAGAAGAAGAAGAAGAAGAATATCAGTAGAAAGGCTCTGGTCACCATAGGACCATTACAATTTCCTCATGGTCTCACGGAGAAAGATTGTTCCCTAAGTGGAGAGTGGAATTTTCACTATGTCCTGAGGAGTGAGGGGCTGCCCTTGGAATACAGTGCCAGGACCCTTGGTAGACATCCCCCCCCACCCAAGCCCACTTCTGCTTCTCCTAGGCAGGGTTTGACTGGATGCCATAATAAACCCAGAATCTGAGAGATTTAATGAACCCAGAACCTGAGAGACTTAATGGCAGTAAAGCTTGACTTAATTTTGTTTTTACCAACTGAATTAATATTTAGGATCATAAATGATCATGAATAATAGAACAACACATCTAATTAAATGGTATTTATGTCCCTGAGTTAGGATAAACATCCTATACTATTTTGCAGTTTTGCAGTTGGCTTTTAAAATAATAAAAAATTGTCTTTTTTTAAAAAAAAAAGTAGTACCATCCCAAGTGCTCCCTGTTTTCACTTGGAATTTTTCTTTGTGATTTTTAAAAATTTTTTGTGTGGTTCATAGTCACTTTTAACTTTATTCTCTACAATAAAATAAGAACCAAAATCTGAAGTAGCCTAGTGGGTTTCGCTAGAGTAAGTGACAAGTCATAAGTTAGCCAACTTCTTGGATCTATTCATGAGTCTTGAGAGGAAGTGTTTCCCAGAGATACTTTTTGGGCTAGAGATTATGTATCAGGGGATTAATAAGTAACCACCAAGTTTATTTTCCATGGAAAGCAAAACTAGCTAAATTTCTTTTCCAGTAGCAAACTGAACATTCAAGGCAGACATTGTGAGCCATGACAGACCATTGCCTGAGATGGGAATCAGTACATTTTTAGATTAACATGTAGGACTGGGGAGATAGCTCAGTGGAATAAGTGCTTGTCTGGCAAGTGCAAGGTCCTGAGTTCGATCCCTAGTACCACCCCCCTCTAAAAAAAAACCCAAACATATGTTACTCTTTTCAATGGGCTTTTTACAGCTGACGGGCTGCCCAAACACTGTGTGATGGTCCGGGCCCATGCCAGGAGTGCAGTTTAGCTGCGGAGTTCTGGTCCTAGTGTTTCCTCCAGCTGGCAGGTTGCTCTCTGTGCTGTGTACAGACCCGAAGGCTCTGCACTGGCTGTCAAGTGTCCTGGTCCCAGGAACCCTCAGAGCAGAAAGAATAGTGACAGGACCCATCTGTTGTGGCTGTCGGCTTGCTGGAGTGACTTCGCTCAGCTGTCTGGAGCAGCTCTGAACCCGATGTAATTCTGCCCTTCTTCACTTCTTAGGAAAGACCAGAACCTGTTGTCTCCGGTGAACTGCTGGTATTTGCTCCTGAACCAAGTACGGCGAGAAAGCAAAGACCACGCCACCCTGAGTGACATCTACCTGAACAATGTGATCATGAGGTTCATGCAGATAAGCGAGGATTCCACCAGAATGTTTAAAAAGGTACACTCCATACATCCTGACAGCACAGGCTAGCTGATCACCCCTTTACCTGTAACCACGACTGAGGGCAGTGCCTGAAAAAATGGAAAGGAGTGAATATTTTAAAGATGCAGAATAAAATGCTAAGCCCAAATAGGCATATTTATCCTGTGTGTGTGTGAGTGTGGGTACAGGGGTATATATAAAATGTGTGTATAAAGTGATGTATCCTCACTTGGCATGGTGAAAGGACTGAATCTATGACCTGAGCAGTGTGTACAAATTTTTGAAAAAGATGTGGCGGCAGGTGGTACCTGGGTCTCTAGGAACTGACCGACGGCACGGATGAAAATCAGCGGGAAGAAGAAAGGCCTCCGATTCTGTCTTCTGGGCTCACACATGACAGGACTTGTGAGGAACATGATTAGCACATGGGCTGCTGCTGCTGCTGTCTCAGGAAAATGTTAGCACAGTTTTTTCTTAATCCCTCCAGACCTGCAGCAGAGAAAAAAAAAAAACCCCACAGGGCGCAGACATTTCAGTCCTGCACTACCAGAGAGCTCCCGGTTCCCCAAAACCATTAAAATGGACTGGAAGTGGTGGTGGGAGGGGCAGAACAAAACAGATCAGAGCAAAACAACAGCAAAACAAACAAACATCCTGGGCTTTTAAGGCTTCTTATCATCATTACTAGCTGCAGCCAACATTTAGTAAATTTTTGTTGAGAATGAAACCAAAGCCTGGACTATTTCCTGTGCACAGAATGCAGCTACTTGGTTGGTTTTCAGTTGTTCGTAGGACCAGAGCCTGCCGCGACCCTTTCAGCTTAGTGCTGATAGTGTTTCTGTCTATGTATACCTGTGCCTTTCTCCAGGAAGTAATGATTTGTTTCAGAAAGGGGTGGGCACCCACCCTGTAGATTCATGGTATGTTTATATTTCAAACGGCCTCTTTAAAACAAAGGCACACTGTTAAGCAGGCCAGCTGGAAAACTTGGTTGTGTTTGATGTATCCACACTAGATTTGATTTCTGACCTAGAAATGGAATTTAACGAGCTCTAAGTGATCCTACACTCAAAATAGAACAATAAGTGTTCTGAACAAAGGATAATTTCAAAACTGGACCCAAGGAGTATATTAATTAAGAGGATAGGTTGAAAAAAAGTCCATTTGTCTTAGACAGTAGAGATTGTTTTTAAGTTAGCTTACGGTGAGCTGTGAAGGTGGGCACACAGCAGCCCTTCCTGCAGTGGCCCTGCTTGTTTCAGCCGCTGTTTCCAGGCATCTCCCCCGAGCTGTAGATGGTGATGTGAGGTCTCTGCAAGGCTACAGAGATGAACAAAAACCAGTCCTCGTGCGCAGGGGGTTGCAGGCAATCCAAATTTGGTGCTGAAGCATGCTTCCCAGTCCTGCGGGTGCTGGCAGGGGCTCAGCCTGGGCCTCAAGGACCAGCCTCGATAGAGAACGCACATTTATCCATTTCATAGAACATCATTAAATGTCTGGCTGGCAAAGCAGGGTTAAAAGACGTGTCTCCACTTGCGAGGAGCTCATTACAATAATTAAGATTTGCCATGCTAAAGAGATGCACAGCCGCTGGGGAAGCCTGAAGACTGGGACGCTTCACTTCACCTAGGGGTCAGGAAATACTTCACACAAGAGGGAACACTTGACAGGAGGCTTTAGGGGAAGGAAGCATTCATCAAGGACAGGAGCTCTCCCAGGGAAAGCCAGAGCTTCTGTTCAGAGAGAGGAAAGCATTTTGTGTGACCAGACCAGGGTTTGTATGGGAAGGAGTGGCGGGATGGGAGGGGAAGTTTGGTGAAGTAAGATGGGACTTTGTGTATCTTGGCAGGATGTAAGGATTTGTATATATCAAGGGCTTGATAAAGTTGGGAGAGACCTGGCCCTCGATCAAACGGCTGTGGAGTTGAACTCCAGCTTTTCTGCTCACTTGCTTGGTGATCGAAGGAGATAGAGGTTCACACAGATGCTCGGTGCTCTTGGAGGGACTGAGCATGGACAGAGGGGAAACTAAACATGCAGTAACTCAGCAGGGGGTTGGCCTGGGGTGGCCTCTAGAATGGTCTCACATCCTGGCAGAGATGGTCCCAGGGCTTCTGCATGTTGGGATGAGGCAGCTCCCTTCAGCAGAGCCTGGTTCTCTGGTAGAGCCGGCTCAGCTCTGCGTTTCAGCAGCCAGTGGCATATATTCCCAGTGGTTGGGGGAGTGTGTTCTTGGCTCTTAAATAGGCTTCTGGAAATGCACAGTAAATACATACACAGATAGGCCTGCCTGCTTGTTTATTACCTCGCATGCTCTGCTTACCCAGATTCTCTGGGTTCAAAGCATTCACAGTGGATTCTGGCTTTGGCATTTAGTGGAGGGAATGTCCCACGCTTCCTGAACAGCCTCTTCTCTGTCGGGTGATGCTGACCCATCAAAAGCTAGCAGTGTTTCCTACTACAGGTACCAAATTCTACCTTCCTCAGGAGAACACAGCAAACTGCCTACCTTGTCTTTCCATCTGTTACAGTGGGAAAAAGAAAGAGCTATGGAGGGGGGTTTGAAATGCAAAGGATGGAGCTTAGTGAGGCGCCAGACCCACCTGGAACACATTTGTCATCTGCATGTGAAGGAAGGCAGAGTCTGTAGCTTTTAAATCCAAAGAATTCAGGTTCCTCTACATTAGAAAACAACTCACACCCCTCCCTCCCTCCTTTCCTCCTTCCTTCCCTCCCTCTTCCCTTCCTCCCTCCATCCTTCTCTCCCTCTATTCTCTTTTCCCCTCTCTTCTCTTCCCTTCCCTTCCCTCCCTTTTCCTCTCCTCCCTGCTTCTACTTTCTAGTCTTCCCTCCCCTCATCCCCTCACCCCATCCCCTTTTTCTTTCTTTTTTGGCAGTACCTCTTGAGTGCTACACTCAGCCCCTTTCCCCTAAAATCAACTTTCCACTTCTCTACCTCTTCTTCCATTGCCTGAGTTTAGGATGAAAACCTATTTTCTATCAAAATGGGAAGAAATCATCGGAGTTGAGCACTAGTGCCCTTTACGGCTGTTGGGAAGTCCTTCCAGGGCATAGTGCTTGCCTTTCTTATTAGAACAGCTTTTAAGACTCCCTCCTTTATCCCCATATCTGCAGGGAGATGTGCTGAGATGCTGACTGCTGCATAGTTGGTTTAAACAGCTACATTTTATCAGATTTAGTCAACAATAGAGAGTTTTTTTACCTGTTTCATCAGATAAGGAATCTGGAGCAGGTAATTCCAGGACTCTCTTTGTCTCCAGATACAGTAGTTAAGAAGACAGTTACAGGAATATGTAATTTCATGCACAGTGTTAGGAACAGCTTTAAGACTGTCGTCTTAATTGTATCAATCATAGTTGCCTCAGCATCTCCAAAAGTTTTTGGGCCAGCAAGATAGCTTAGCTGACTATGCACCTGCTTAGGCAACCACAGGGACCAGGGTTTTATCCCCAGCACCATGTGCCAAACCAGCCCACCCCTAGCTGCCCTGAGCCAGACACCAAGACTAAGTGTGGTGGTGCATGTCTGTAATCCCAGCACTGGGGGGGCTGAGACAGGAGGATCACTGTGAGTCCAAGCTGTGTAGTGAGACACTGTACCAAATACATCAAAAGTTAACAACAGGAAGCCGTGGTGAGGTGGTATACTTCTGTAATCCCAGCACTGAGGAGGCTGAGGCAGGAGGACTACTACAGGCTGAAGACCAGCAAGGGCTACATGAAACCCTGTCTCAAAACAAAAAAAGAACATGGAAAAGAAAAAGATAGTTTCAACAGGCAGAAAAAGTGAAACTTTTTAAAAACTATACTCATTTACTTAAATGTTGATTATTTCAGATCTAAATTTTTAAAGTTCTATATGTACACTGCTGTGAGAATAATAGTGATTCCGCTTTTGGGCTCTGAAATCAACTGTTTTGGGTAGAAGTTTTGGCTTTGCTTACTGAGGCCCCATTAGACTACAATGTGATCAGGCCTGGGGAGATAACTCAGTAGAGTAAGTGCTTGCCTGGCAAGCACAAGGTCCTGAGTGTAATCCCTGGTATTGGAAAAAAACAAAAAGACTATAATGTGACCAAAACTATTGTCTTGGCTGGGCATATAGCTCCGTGGTAGAGTGCTTGCCTACCACGCACAGGTCCCTGAGTTCAGTCCACAGTACCAGAAAAGAAAAACTATTGTCTTGAAGCTGTTTCCTAACATTCTGCATGAAATTAAGTATTCCTACAAGTGTCTTCTTGATTATGGTGTCCACTCTAGTAGCTACATGCTCTTAGGAGTATTTGTGAATGTATATTTATAGAGTATAGTAAGTCATCCCATGTAGTTGTATGGGAGATCCATAAATCATATGTGGAAGGCAATTGAGCCCAGTGTTTGTGCTTAAATCCCAAGCAAACTTTTAGCTAGTACATTTCTCATGATCTAGTGTAATCGTTATTCCATATACCTACATAATTAGATAATGTGGGGTTGTGCATTAACCGTGTATGGAATAGATATGTCCTCATTCTAAGAAGAACATGCGCACAACTTAGTGGTAAATACATTTAGATTGTCTTATTACAAAGTTCCAACCCATATTTATAACTGACTGAGAAATGCTCTTGCCTCATTGCTCATGCCAGAATTACAATTGTTATCCTCACATAACAGCTAGAGAAGAGCCAAGTGAAAGTCCATGCTGGTTAATCCTCCATGCCCTCAGCTCCCCAGCAAACACCTCCTATGGAGCGTCTTAGCTCTGAGGCCACACTGTTTTCTTTACTTGCTGAGTTACCTCCACACTGTAGATATGAGCCATGCAAACCCTGACACGTGGGGACTCTATTTCTACCAAGTTCTGCTTCACCGCTTTGAGATCAGAGTCTGGGGACTCCTGCTACGTAGGGTTTGTCTCATTACCAAGGTTCTCTTTGTCCCCAGAGAGCCAAGGCCGTGGCGTGCTTCTTGCCCTGCTCTCCATCCCTTCCCCTGCAGCCATGAGACTTTGGC